TGGCGCGTTTCTTTCAGGGTGTCGATTATCGTTTAGCGTTGGAAAAGGCAAGAGGCGAAGGGGAGGGGGAGAAAAAAAAGGTGGCCGCCGAAGGAACCGAAGAATCGATCCCCGAAGGATCTGCCCTCGCGCGATAATCTGGAACATCGTCATTTTCAGCGGTTTAATACCTTTATGGCACGACAAGAACGTTATTAGCATCGACCACCGTCGTTCTTTCCCTATCCCCACGTCCTGGCTCGTTCACTTTTGCGTTCCTAAATTTAATTAAATTTCACGGTTTTTCGCGATTAAGGGACCGCCGCGGTGCACGGGAGACGTTACAAAATTAGTTTCGGCTGGGGATAATGAATTTCGTTAATTATGCCCCGCGAATCGGCGGTTCTCAGCCGGTTCTCCTGCGCCGGCCGAGGCGTCTTAATCTGGCAAGTCGTTCGCCGGAGGTGAAGCCGCGCTTTTGAAGCCACGTCGAATTACCGGTCTTCCCGCTTCTTGTCCAATTTCACCCCCTTTTAACCCGGCTCGATCAGCTGTCGAAACGCAAACGAAATTCTAACGGAGCCGCGCGGTCGTGGATCTCTCCCTCCAGTGATTCAAAGAGTCTGAGTTTCCTCGCGCTTGTTGAACGTAACTGTGAGTCGATTTCGCGAATTGTATTCGTCTCTCGTTGCACGGAGTGAGTGAGAACGAGTTTCGTGTAATAGAAGTCGTAGGCTACGCGGTAAAGGGAAGCAGATTGGCGCTGATTAGTCGTATGCACCGATAAGGTTTCTCTTCCCTGTGGCGAAGCCCTTACGACACCCTCGCGCACCCTCGACCAACCGAAGGTCTTTAAATCCTGATTAACGGAGCCTCAACTTTCTGTCAATGTCATAATCCCTTCGACAAGGATGTTCCACTGATTATTTGCTTCTGGTAATTCGTTGTAAATTGATATTCTCGATTCTAAGAACAGATGAGAGAGCGAGAGCGAGAGAGACAGAGAGAGAGAGAGAGAGAGAGAGAGAGAGAGACGAAAGTTCAAGAACTACGATTTCAAAGTAATTTGAAATTCCTCGAAGCTAGCCCTGCCAGCAAACAGACGGATACACACGAGTCGGTGTAATATTTTTCCTCTGTTTATGGCGGTAGGTGATACGCCTAAAATTGAATCGCGACTTGGACCATGCAAGTAGTCGGGGCAGACTCCGGCAAAGACTCGCCCTTAGACGATCGCAATTAATTCGCGACTGGTGAGTAGGTGGGGGGACGGAGTGGTAGGCGAGAGGGGGTGAAGCGGGGGAAGGGTGGACGGGGGTGGCGGGAGCGGGGGAGG